AGACATTTTTTTGGCTGTCTGCAAAAATTTCATGGAATAACCTCTGGTCCGCAGAAAATGTTATGGAAATATGCTGGTCTGCAGAAAATTTTATGATAATTTGCCAGTCCATGGGTCCAAAAAGGTTTGGGAACACTGCACTAAATAAGGTTCTTTAAAACAATTTTCTCTTTAGGAAAAATTTATTCAGGCTCCTTACATTTCGTTGTAAAGAGAGAGTTCATCTGCATACACTTTTCTAAGCAGCATCAGGCTATGATTCCAGTTCTAAGAACATACTTTTGACTCAGGTTTTAGATGCGCTGGTTTCTACGGTGCTGAACTGCTCAATTGCACCTTTCTCAAATATACTGGGTCCAGTTTAAGGAAAGATTCATTCCTGGATGAGTTTTATCATGCAAAAATTTTTTTTTGCAGAACAGAAAATTTTCACAGTTTTATTAGAACTAAATTAATGTGCTCTGATTCTATCAATTTGTAAGAATAAATGAAAAATTACATTTCCAATAAAGAAATTTCATAATTAAGCAAAAATAACTTTGGTGGAATTTTGGACCTTGACTGCTGGATAAATGAGTTGATGGGATGCTGATCTTGGAGGCAAGGGGGCAGACAACAATATAAGACTTATTATCTTGGAACAGATAATCTTTCACGCCTACTTTCAAAACACATGAAGTTAGATTTGCATTACTTGTACTGTATGTCTGTATCTTTCCTGTATCATGCAAATATTAGCCAAAAGGCCTCCGGAAATTTGAGTAACTCAGATTTGAGAGGAAAGGCCTTCAAGTTTGAGTAACTCAGATTTGAGAGGAAAGGCCTTCAAGTTTGAGAGGTTTTTACAGCATTGCTTACGAGGGAATTCGGAAAGGAAAGAACATTCCACTGAAGTATTCGACTTATCCAGGTTCAACCGTACAGAGAAAATCATATGCACATCGGCTGTGTAGAGAGAGTCCACCTTCATTTCACAGCAGTGTACCAATAATAATTTGGGAAGCAAGGGGAGACCAAATGAAGTCCACATTCAAGATGTTGAGAGCTTGTTGTCATTAGGATCCTTTTTTGTTGTTGTCTGCTGTGTGCCTTTTTCTGTTTTGTTTTTTCGTTTTTGCGTTGTTGCATGGCGTCAGTTGATGCCCATACAGCGCAGTAAAGTAGCGTGACGCGAGGCTGGGATTAAGTCGCAGTCATCGGCTCGGGGAAGAAGCCTCACCAGTGTGTGTCCGGGGAGGCACAGAGAAGGAAACCAAGTGACGGGGACGAGTAACGCGCGCGCGGGATTCTGCTCCGTGAGCATGTGCGATAAATAATGAGGGCACATTACGTGCTTCCACGAATAAACAACCGCATAAATTTCTATCGAATCTGACGCACTGCTGAATTTGAGTTACGTATTTGCTGCCTATTGACGCGACGGTTCTGCTGTGATCTTCGCAGCTCCGCGAAAATTGAAGTGAAGTGCGCGCGGCCATCGTCGGAGTTGATCAGAGTTGCTTGATTCTTGGAGGCTTCGGCAGTTCATCGAGATTCTCTTTTTCGGATTAGATTCCTTCAGTCTATACTATGAAGACTCCCGTTGCTAGTTTTGTAGAGAGAATTTGAAGAGCAGAGCACGTACGTGAATTAATGCCAATGGCGGTTTTCCTATTAAAAACATTGGTTGGAAATGAGCTCTGCAATTTTTTCCCGCACGAATTGACCGCGGGTGCCGAATCTATGTAAAAAGAATTTATATTTTAATAAGTTCGAGGGACGAAAAGAGCATAGTTCAAACAGAATTTTAAGAAGTCGTATGATTTAAGAGTGCCTTTCAACGAAAAATTGAATTTAAATCCTTACCATCTATGCATTAAAAGTTTTTTTCAATAAAAACTAAAGGATTTTTTTCTCGTGGGAGAGTGAGTTTTTGTAATTATTGCCTTTTTTCTCTAATCTTGAAAAGCTAGCACCCCTGCCGTGAATTGTAGATTTACGTAAAACATAAATCATCGACAAAGCTTTCGATATAAACTTTCAACGAAAATTGTAATGCTCCTGATGCTGATCAAAGTTATTTCCTTGCAGAAAGTGCAGGCTTTCTGTCAACGATTGAGCTAATTGTATCCTTCGATGTTGCCTTAAGTACTAATGTAAATGAAAACAGAATAATCAGAAAAGAGGATGTTGTCCGATTATCATGATCAAACATTCTTCAAACATTCACCATGTGATAGTTTCTCCAATTTCCCTAAAAGCAACGACGATAAAGTCCTACAGAGATTTCCAAATTTTCGGAAATTCCATGATATTATTTCATTGTGAAAGCAATTGCATGGCATTCATTTTATTCGAATTTTTTTTGAAAACGGATGCAATCAGACACGGAAATACTGGAGAGTAATTAAATTCGAGCAATCGATAATTTTAATTTTAATGTGGAAACCCGTCATTTTTTTCTATGTCGCCAAGGTTGAACTGAAGCAAAATGACGATTTCACCGCCACAAATTTTCAATTACCGTAATGAGTACAAATCGCATGGTTTGGAAAACCCCGTGAAAAAGATCGCTCAGGTAAATTTCCCTTTAATATCCTATTATCCGCTTGACCACTGAATTTTCTCGCTGATGCAAAGTATTCACGGTCAATCGTTTTGTCGTAAATCATTCCGATTGGATGATTGCTCGAAACAACGCAGCATTAAATAGCAGTTCAAGCCTGAGTCGAATACGATATGGTATACCGTACCATTTACAAGTTTCTCAAGAGAGATTCGAATTTTTCGGAAGATATTCCGGGAAAAGTGCGATTTCCATTTTTTTAAGGGAGAAAATACAATATTCGCTAGAAGAAAAAAAAAAAACGTTGTTGTACTAACTCCGAATATCGAAGAAGCTTTTACGAGTTCGCATTTGTTTGTGATGACCGGATAAGTTGCTATGAAAAGAGAAAATCTGAAAAAAATCTTGAAAATGGATGAACATTAAATATTACGAATCAAACGAGGAAGTTCATAAAGAAGATATTAATAAGACCTGATTTGACCTTTCATAATAACTTAGCAACCTGCTATTATTTAAACCAGTGATACCAAACCATTTTAGGCCCGCGGATTGGCAAATTTCACTTTGAAAATTTTCAGACTTTCAAATTTAAAAAAAAATGCTGCAGACTGGCAAAGTTTCATAGAATTTTGCAGACTTTAAAAAAGTTCTGTTTGAAAGACTTTATGCTTGGCAGATATTTTAAGAGTGGTTGCTTTATTTTGAAAAATTAAATAGTAACCAATGATGCAGTTGAAGTGGAATGCCTTCAAAAAATTAGAAAGGCGGGCTTAAAGAAAAGTTTCTAAGAATGAAAAATTGGAATAAATTATTTCAGTGGGTGAAAATTCGTCTGAAGCATGATTAGGAGAAAATCAGACTTTTATTTTTCATCAGATAATTTATATTGCCATTGTCTATCCAAAATTTCAGATAAAGATAACATACTTCATCGCTAATTTTGATAAATTCATTATACCGAAGAAAATTTCTTGCGGATGACCAGCAAAAAAAAACTTCTGAGGACCAGCGCTACTGATTTAAACTGATTATAGCCTGTTGCAACCCAAATTGGCTCGAGTAAATTTGAACCTAATCCAACCAAAGACCTCCTGACATAACCAAACTTGAACTAATCTAACTCAACTAATAAAACTTTACATCTACAGTCGACATCCGTGCACTTTTTTGCGCATTTCCTCGTTTTTGTACTTTTGTGCTGCCGGCCTTCGTTTCGGATATGAGAACATCTGCACATCAATATGCAGTATAGTGCTTCATATCGTATTGATTGCATACATTTGAAAAACCTGCGATCGTCCATTATTCTGATTTGGCAGATGCAGAGGCGACATTCGAAATCGAGAATATATATTTGACTGCATATAATACCGGCGCGGGAAAAGAGTGTTTCTTTCAACAATTTGCGCTGAAGATGATTTCCGGACTCGTTCGTACTTGCGAAAACCGTCTCCGGGTGAACATCTATAGTTGATGCCGTCGGAAGCAGCGGTGCTTCCCGCGGTCGTCCCCAAACCCAACAACGTTTCGGAAATGTACGCAATCAATACTGCAAAACCCCGGGTGTTCCCGGCGCTCGTCATTCTCGTCACTTTAACCACGACTCCGACGGCGACCCGGGCCCAGCAGGCTTCGTCCTCGGCTATGCAAGCAGCAGCAGCGCAAGCACCACCACCACCACCACCACCATCACCAGCAGTGGCTCCTGAAGCTGCTGGTCACAATAACTGGGCTGGATTCGGTAATCAGCAGAGCTTGGCACCTTCGAACCCGGCGTTGCTCGCATCGGGCTCAATAATAAGTGGCACCAGCAGCGTTGTCCAGCAGCAGCAGCAGCCTGGAGCTGCGCTATCGCCGATTCCGGCAGCAGCTGGTCCTCCGCAAATCCCCGCTTTGCAGCTGCCGAATGCACCCTCGCAGATTCAAGTACCGGCTCAGGCTAATCCCGGCGGTGGAACTGGCAATCCCCGCTTCCCGAATTCACAAGTACATATTTCATTTTATTTTTTTTTCAAATATACAGTACTGTACATTATTTATACGGTATTTTCAATCTCATGCATGAAAAGGAGGGGGTGGCTTCATAAGTTTTGCAGAAGTTCTTTTGCAGGTCTATGGGAAATTTTTTCTGCATAATAAATTTACCAAAAGTAAAGATGAAGTCTGTTATCTTTTTCTGGAATTTTGGAATAACAGTGATGGCAGATGGATTATCTCGTGAAAAATAAATGTTGCCTTTTCTCGTATTAAGAATTCAGACAAATTTTAACTTGCTGAAATACATTCTTTAAATTATTTTTTCTGAGAAACCTTTCTTCAGGCCCACCTTGCTAAAATTTTGATGATATACCATCACACTACAGTTGCCTCATTGGTTATAACCTCAATTTTCGCAAAAAATCACAAAATTTTTTGAATACCTGCCATGAATTCCTCCGAGCAAAACGCTTTTGAGTCTGCAAAAAATGTTATGAAACTTTGGCAGTCTCCAGAATTTTTTTAATAATTGGCCAGTATGCAAAAATTATTTATGGGAATTTGCCAGTCCGCAGGCCAAAAAAGGTTTTTGAACACTGATCAAGATTATAAGGTTTCCTCTGGTGGAATTTTGACGTGCATTATGTTTACAGTTCGTCTAAAGCAACTCTTCATATCGTGTCAGCATCACAACAGTGAGGTACCGGTAAATAAACGTTATTTAACTGCCATAAAAGGTACTCCATACTTGCGTTGTCTTCTAATTCTAGACAAGTCCACTTTAAACCTTAATTTTTCCTCAACTTGCTTTAACACCCTAAAATGATGCACATTTGACTGTTTTTTATTTTATGATTTTTTCTCAACCCGATTGAATAAAACAGACTGAAGGAAAAATTATCTGACGCACAATCCCGTTCAGTGAATTTATACGTTGCCATGAGCGTTTGTTCTCAGCGTTTCGTCGTTCCTTCCCCCGCGACTGTTTGTTTCTTTCGCTCTTATTATTTCCTCCACGTGACGAGCGATTCTTCATTATGTTTACTCTTGAAAGTGCTGTCGAGAATGAGATCGGGCACCAGGTGTGTGGATCACGACAGGAGGAAGGAATCACTGGCCGAGGTCATGCGTTGGACCGTGGATCGCATGAACAGCCAAGTAGCGGACGTTATTGGCAACGGAGCCAGGAGTGAAACTAAATTCGGTCAGTACAGTACTGTATATGGCATATCTCCCCGATTTCAAACACGTTTTCCAATTTTCTTCGAGAACAAGTTTCAAGACTACCGTAGTTGAGTGAATTCAAGACACCATGAATCATAAAGACGCGCCTGGATGTTTTGCATTAAAATGATGACTTTCTCATGGCATTGAATTTCTTTGGAATTGAAGTACAGTACAGTACTGTACATTACTGTACAGGTCAAACCCAATATAAGAGGGTATACGCACAGAAATTCGGAATTTTTTCCAGCTATGTAAACCAGCATTTTTGCTGAGGAAAAAAGTAAGGGAAAGTTTTCAAGAAATTAAAATTGGGGATCTTCAGGACCTGAAACTGCTGGATAAATGAGTTGACGTGATGCTGAACTTGGAAGCAAGGGTTCCTTTGCCCCCAAAATTAAACACAAACTTCCTTTAAAAAAAAAAAACTTCATTAAATTTCTCATGTTTTTTTCTCTTCCCTCGGTTCCAAGAATGAAAACCCCAGAGGCCTCAAATTTTTTTTTTAATGAAAGTTCAAGGTCTTGGAGTTTGAGGGGGTTATAATAAAATACCCTCAAGTCTAAAGGGCATTCAAACAGGAATCACATGAAAATCAACATAGAGAGGTTCGAGTTATTGAGATCCAGCTGTATACTGTAACTTGTAATTGCAATTCATACTGCAATTCGCTCGTATGTTCTGAAGGAACTGAATTCGCTCATGTGGTTTGAATTTTAAAAAAAATGAGCATGATCTGACGGAATAATTAAAAATTGCAGAAAGTTTTGAAGTCAAATTTCCCATTTAAATCTTCGCCAGCATTACGTGACACGTGAAGATTATACTGAATTTGGTTCTTCTGCCTCTCATAAGAGGGTATCTTTCTTCAATCATGATACTTCTTAACTTGCCTGATGCTGATCTTCAAATTTTAAATGTAGTAGCTGATGAATTAAAAGAGTCACTTATTTATTTCCTCGTCTTGAAATATTTCAATGCGGTTAACCGGAAGCTCGGAGCATTGACGCTCCACTGTTCATTCATTGACTCGGAAAAAGATAACTCGTTCGTTTGATTTCCGGTATTTTTTGTGATAAAATCAAAATCGCACGAAAATTTGCTCAACTCCGTCGGCCCAGCACAGCTGGACCGTGAGCGAACGAGGAAGATTTTCACAAGACGCTCCATCAAGGGTTTGTGGGGAAAAGCAATGAAATATTATTGCAATATATTTGAAAGAATGAATTTCAGGGAAACTGTGGGAAATTTATGGTTCTTAGTTTCCGCCGATTTTCCTTCCTCGTCAAAGTAAATGAGAAAATAAACGAGCAGCTGCTGAGAATAAATATATCGTCGCATTTATCGGTGAAGGGGTTTCTGACGGGCGTGTCCAAACTCCTTCCTCCAAAAAAATCCCTCAAATATATTTTACCGGTTACTATCGCATTTTTTTACTTTTCTTTTTGTCCAGTTTTATGAATTTGGCTATAATGCTAAAGCTTTTTTGCGNTATACGGTATTTTCAATCTCATGCATGAAAAGGAGGGGGTGGCTTCATAAGTTTTGCAGAAGTTCTTTTGCAGGTCTATGGGAAATTTTTTCTGCATAATAAATTTACCAAAAGTAAAGATGAAGTCTGTTATCTTTTTCTGAAATTTTGGAAAGACAGTGGCAGAGATGGGTTATCTCGCGAAAAATAAATGTTGGCTTTTCTCTTATTAACACTTCAGACAAATTTTCACTTGCTGAAATACATTTTTAAAATTATTTTTTTCTGAGAAACCTTTCTTCAGGCTCACCTTTCTAAAATTTTGAAGGAATACCAATAAAGTTTCTTCATTGGTTCTAACCTTAATTTTTGCATAAAATCACAAAATTTTTGAATAACTGCCATGAATTCCTCCAAGCAAAACGTTTTTGAGTCTGCAAAAAATGTTATGAAACTTTGGCAGTCTCCAGAATTTTTTTCCATAATTGGCCAGTATGCAAACATTTTTTATAAGAATTTGCCAGTTCGCAGGCCAAAAAAGGTTTTGGAACACTGATCAAGATTATAAGGTTTCCTCTGGTGGCATTTTGACGTGCATCATGTTTACAGTTCTAAAGCAACTCTTCATATAGTGCCAGCAGCATTTGTCACTCCATGGCCATTTATTTGCAATAAATTGACGGTATTTTCCATGAGGTATGAACGCAACAGAAGATTAAGATCTGTTCAGGTGAAATTTGGAATTAAAAAGGAGTTGAACGAAATTGTGGGTAAAATGATGCACATTTGACTGTTTTTTATTTTATGATTTTTTCTCAACCCGATTGAATAAAACAGACTGAAGGAAAAATTATCTGACGCACAATCCCGTTCAGTGAATTTATACGTTGCCATGAGCGTTGACAAATACTGTACATTCGAATCTTCTCGACTTTAACCTTTGTTAAGTTTAAAACCTCCGTAATTCTAATGTTTTTTCCCAGGCATTATCATCCCAAAACTTTACCTAACCTCACAACTATAGAAACCTCTCAGTTAAATTTTGTATTCGTCCCTTCAAATTCGATTTGAAGAGGTCCGACTGTATTTCAAACCATCGTAAAACGCTGTTCGTGATAATATCTCAAATCCGACAGCGATGTTTCAATTTTCAAAGCTCTTGACAAATTTTCATTATGAATTATTTGAAGACTGCCCCCTCAGCCCTTTGAAATGTGCATTGGCGAGGAGGAAATTGTTTAAGTCAAGGCTAATACGTATTGAAGAAAGGATATTGAGAGGACAGATGTCGTCAAGTCTTGCTATTGATCCGACAGTACATTGAAGTATTATTATTTTTTACGTGTAAGTACCCGAAGAGGTTTTTCAAAGTACAGTAGCTGAAAAAATATGTGCAGTACATTGAACTATCCCTCGTAAGAAAAAAGTCCTCTTCTGAAGTACTTCCTGGAATGAAGACCCTCTTATTTTTCTGAGCCAAGCTTTCGAATTGCTCTAAAAATTGGACTCCAAGTTCTCGGAAAGTTTTTTACTTTTTTTTGCTAAGTAGTTCATCGAGTTCATCGAACTTTTTCCAAGATTCTCATAATCGACCCACAAATTGTATTTATGCCATCTCTTTTTAAATCAATTTTTCACATTATTTCCTTTAAATCGATTCATAAAATCCCTCATGGGGTTTTCTCACAAGCGTTGAATTCTATCATACGAATTCCTGGTATTGAGTGCTTGATTATATAGGTATCGTAGGTGCGAATGATGGTTGGATTCCGTCTTTTGATTTTAAAATTTGAAATTTCTGCTTCGAATCGTTGATGAAACCGGAAAAGGTAATGACACCAATTTTCCGGGTCGTTCCAAGAATAATTAAATTCGTATGCAGAAAAAGTTATGGCGCCATTTCCGGGAAATTCGAATTTTCCATCGTGAATCGAGGAATTTTTTTTTTAAAGCTTTGATATCATACTTCTTTCAGCTAAGACTGGCTCCATCACAAGCTTCGCCTTCCCAAGCAACACTCGATGCTCTAAACAGTGTCCGGAAGTTGAATCCGCCGATACCAGAACAGCAAATCATGCCGAACCCCGGAAACCAGCCTAATTCTTCAAAATTGGTCCCGGTTCATTCGGAATCCCATCAGCAGATTGCCTCATCGTCGGGTCGAAAGGCTTTGAACCCGAACCTGGGTAACCTAGGCTTCCTGAAAACGTCTCAGGCAATTGCTTCGCCCAGTGCTGCGGGTTTTGGTCCTCCTGTTACGACGGAAAAAGTGGCAGCTCTGGTTCAAGCCACGACTGAAAACGCATTCGTCGTCACTCGTCAGGCCCCGAATGTCGCGTCCGTCGACGACATTAGGTCAATGCTCGAGAGCAGTACTGTGTCGAGTGTCGGTGACGATTCCGCGACTTTCGTGACGATCGGACAAGACGTTGCATCGTTTATGCTGGCAGCAGGGCGAAATGCCGCGCTGAATTCAACGGGAAACAGTACGGAGAATTCAGTACCAGAAAACGGGTGCTGGAATGCGGATGGATACTCGGATAGACCTTTTCTTGAAATCCGAGGCGACTCAGCTCAGCTGATCGGTGCGTTGAAAAGTACAAAGATTTCCCAACGAGTTCTTTCGTGAACTACTACGGTTTCGGAAAAACTCGTGAGCCACGCGGAAATCGGGAACTTTATTTTAGTCCAACGCAAATGTATATATTCAGAGAAAATGTCTGCTTTTTTCTCCCTCGACTCCTGGGACTCAAAATCATAGCGATCGATAACACCGAGGTCTTTAGCATAGAAAAAAA